TTTTGTCACTAAAACTCCGTTTTTATCAACGGGGTAATCATGACCAGTTATTCTTATTGGACCTCTCTCAACTAGAAAATCTTTTTCTTTTTGAGAAATAGGTACTTTCCAATTACCTGGATCACATAACTCGGTCATATCAAGAGTAACAGGCAACACATCTACTATATCATTCCCAACAGCAGCATTCGTCTCCTCATCATCTACAACACATCTACCCTCATCCTTGGTTTCATTTTCGATCTCAAGTGAAACACCAATAGTTTCATTCTCATCTTTATCATTTGCCTTGAAATCTTTGTTTGAGGTCGATGGAGAAGGATTTACTTTTACATACCTATCCATGGAACCCGCAAAAGATTGCATTACTTCATCTTTTCTTTTCTTAATTTTTCTCTTTAAAGCTCCTGACTCTTGTTTCCGTTTCCCGGTCATAGTAGATACTACAAAATAATAATTTAGCACTGAATATTAGGTATATTACAAGTTAGTAAATATTAAATATGGAAACAAATAAGACAATGTTTAAAAAAACAAGTTCAAGCTAAATTTAATAAATGAATAACTGCAAGAAAAAAAGGAAAAAAAATTAACACAAAGTTTCAAGTTCAATACAATTAATAATAATTAATAATTAATAAATTAGATGTAGAATAAGACATTTACAAATTTTAATTTCTAATATCTATGCTGAATTTTACAAAAAAACAAAATCTATGCTAAATACTGAATTGGGGATGGGAGAATAATTGAAGAAATCATTGAAATATACTAGTACCGTAGTTCGTATTAACAAGTTAGAAAAAGTTTTTTTTTTCGTATTAACAAGTTAGAGTTGAATTGTTGAAATCTAAAAAATCGGAAGTAAAACATTACCTGGTTTGCAGATTGGTAGGGCCGTAGGGCATCTGTTGCCTGGCAGAAGTGCAGAAGAAATCGGCTGAATGTGTGGCTTTACTCGTTGGGCAGAAATCGGCTAAAAAATTGAAGAGTCCAAGTTGTTTTCCTCTTCTGATTTTGAATTAATTAATCAATAGGAGTCTAGGGAGTAGGGACTACTGATTAGGGTCTGGGGTGAGTGGGGTCCTAAATTTTAATTTTATACGGAGTACTTTTGTAGACTTTTGACATTACTTTTGACAATGGTCATCCGGACCTACGGAATATATTAATTAATATAATATATGTATATATAATAATACTAGGCTTTTTACTCAAAAATGATGCCCCTTTTGGGGGTGGTGCCCTAGGCCATTGCCTAGGTGCCTACCCCCTATGGCCGGCTCTGCCGTTAGAGAAGGGGGAAGTTGCTCTCTTTTAGAATAGAGATATTCTTGCCCCAAAAGTAAGTTTATGGGCTTGGATAGAGTAACAACTCTAGGAGGGATTGTTGTCCCTTTTCCCAAAAAATGTGGTTTATCCAAGTGTGGGGCGGTGGACAGTCCGACTCACTGTTACGGGAAGATATGCAACATGTGAGGTGCCCATTTGTTATGAGATGGGCTGGTCTGCCCTGCCACACAAATGGTCAGAAATTTGTAAAAAGCTTGACCCGAACTTGTGTTTGTACACTAGTAGTGTTACACAAAAGTGCAACTGTGTAAACTAGTTATGTTTAAATTCTTCGTATGTTTAAATATATGATTTATATTTTATGTTAAAAGTAAGATATATATATATATATATATATATATATATATATATATATTACATTGTTAGCGATATGATAAAATTGTAAATACACGTGACTAATTGTTTATAAAAAGAATATATGGTTCAAGCACCACGGCAGGAGATTTATTGTAATACATTTTTTCATGAATATTACTAAATTAAATTTAAAAGACAAAAACATAAATTGTTTTTGAAAATTTCCAAAAAAAATGATGCATTCGGTGACTAGTTTAAAGTAACTCGGCATTTTTCGGTTACTTGTCACTCTGCAATACACTATAATGACTTTTGTCCAGTTACGCGTGTATACAAACTAGTCATATTTTTATCCATAACATAATTAGTCATATTTTTGTTCGGGGAAATTATCATAGTAATATGCATAAATGTAAGATGTTGTTGTCTAAATACTACGCAGTAAATGTCTATAACGAACGTAGTTGGATTCTTCGATTGAAAATATAAATTACTGTAATCGAAGATCGAAATATAAAGCATTTGCTCAAACAAGAGTGTTGTGCTTAAAAATGCATAAAACAACTGTTTGAAACAATTGTCTTAGAACCGGTTTGGTCATCCTATTTTTTTACTTTAACATTTTTTTCACCAAACACATAACTTATTCATATAAATTTTTCTTTATTTCAATAATAATTTTTTAGTTCCCATAAATCAACAGAATCAGTCAATCAAGCCACTGAAGCTAAAACTTCATAAATTTTTGTACAATAAGCCAATTTAAGTATTACCAAACGGACTCTTAATGTGATTATTAAAACATAATACTACGTACTCCCTCCGTATTTTAGAGTTTGCTACAATTTTCTTTTTTTGTATGTATTTTAAAGTTTGCTATATATATTTTACTTTTTGGTAAGTTTTCCCTTAAAAATACTCAATTAACTTTACTTTTTCTATTCTTTGATCTTTTCTATCATACTTTTCCACCAACTATCCTACGTTTACTATACTATTCATTACATCTACTATTTCATCCTTAGATAGTGTGCCCAAACCTATTGTAGTGAACTTTTAAATACGAAAAGAGGAGTTTTTTTTGGAAAATGCCCCATGAAATTGAGGCTTCCAAGAATGATTTAAGTTACAGAACGACTGGCGACTCCCTAGGGTTCTAGGGTTGGGTAGAGGGCCGTCGTAGGTGACGGCGTCTTCTTCTTGTTTCTTCCGAGTTTCGTACTCGGCACTGGTGCTTCGGCTTTAGCTTTTGTAATCGACTGTCCAGGGGTTTTTGGTTTTGAAGTTTTCGACCGAAGGTCTAGGCCCTCACGTCGATTGTTTCTGCTTCATTGTTTGTTGTTCGCGTAGGTTTTTCGGAGGCAGGAGGGACGGAGGATATTGCAGACAAGTACAAGGACGTGGCTATAGGGGATAGAGAGGAAGAGATTGTTTTTGACGAAGAGACTGCTCCGGACGATGAAGCCGCGGCTGACGAAGAAGCATTCCTAGTGGTTGGCACTGTGATTACAGACAGGTTGGTGAAGTTCTCGATTTTTAGAGATCTCATGGCTAAACTCTGGAGTCCTGTGAAAGTTATTTCCATACAAGAGATCAACGATAAAAGGTACATGTTCACTTTGTACCATATTCTTGATATGAAACGTGTGATGGAAGGCGGTCCGTGGATATTTGAACAAAACCTGTTAATTCTTTGGGAGCTTAAGCCAGGGGATGTTCCCCTTCGCGTTCCTTTGAATGAAACTGAGTTCTGGGTTCAGGTACATGATGTTCCATATGATTATATGAATTTGGGGGCTGCCAGAAGGATTGGGAATTTTATTTATAAATTTATTAATTTTGATAAGAGCCAATTTGATAAAAAGTGGAAGCCTTACATGAGAATTAGAGTTTGTCTGGATGTGGGGAAGCCACTGAAGGTGGGCACGACTCTCATAAAGGGACAAAGAGAAGGGCACTAGGTTGAGTTTAAATACGAAAAACTGCCTAGTTTTTGCTTTGTTTGTGGGATTATTGGGCATGCTGACAGGTATTGCCCTTTGGTTTATGAGAACAAAAATATGGAGGTTACTAAGACATATGGAGTTGGTGTGTGTGCAGGAGGAAAGGGGAGTTCTCGGGCTTTTGAGGGAAATAAATGGCTAGTCCCATAATAACAGGGAAGGACAGGAGATGGGAAAGAGGGTCCGAGCAGAAGAGATGGGGCACCTTCTTTGACCGAGGGCGGCAAGGGCCGCGGGGAATCTGATAGTTAAGCTTCGGAGGAGGTAGCTTCTGGTGAAGCTAAACGCAGGAGGACTTGGGAAGCGTCAAGTGGCAAGGGAGTGAAAGGGAGCAGATGGCCCTAGATGATCCAAAAAACAGGGAGGGGGTGGGTTTGTGCAGCTCAACCCGTCACAATGTTTGAAGATTTTCTCTGCTAAAGGAGGACATCGGAGCTCGTTCGGGCTTCTTAGTTTTTATTTCAAGTTCCACAGTTTTACTGTTGTTTTTTGTCTATTTTTTTCCAAGCACTTATTTGTTTCTGTTACTAATGTTTTGTTTTGTCAGACTCTTACATTAGGCAGGGTGATGGGGGTTTTGCTTTGGTCACGCTAGGCTCATTTAGACCCATTATAGGATTAGCGAATCATATTGCTCTGTCTAGGGTGATTGGTTCTTAGGCTGGTTCGAGTGTCGGTGGCTGGAAGTGTTCCCTTTATCTCTTTTGTCCTCTGCTGAATGTTTCTTTATCAATATAAGCCGTGTTTTTCTAAAAAAAAATACGGAAAGAGTATATTATTTCAAATAAAAGTACCATTATTCTCTTCCTAACATTAAGATTCATTCCCCGGGCGTAGCTGGGGGACCGAGGCCCCAATCCACCCCAACTTTCAATTTTGTTTAAATTATTAAGTAAAAAATCATGCAAAAAAACTAAAAAAGTTCTTTGTACCGGCCTGCCCGAATATATCGCGCTGCCTCCACCAGTGATTCATTCACTCTTATTTTGTGAAGTTTTTGTAATTTTGATCTTTTAATAGGACTAAGTAATTCTTATTCAAGAATAAAATATATGCCTACTTAGTGGTGTTTCTCAACTTTGCTCATGTAATACCACAAAAAAGCTTTGCTCATTTACTCCCATTTTGAGCATTTTTTACAACAATATGACATACTTTGACTTCTACTCGTTCTTGCAATTCCACCTTATTGTCTGGTTAACATAGCTTCCAACTACAGCTGACTGTTTTGTTGCACCTAGCATTTGTGCGTAGAGATCATAATATGCCGATGCATTCATATTTGTCAAAACTTTCACTTCTTTCCCCTGTTGTTCATCAATAATCATTTTGCCGTCTTCTGATTCTTCACCTTCTGCGATTACTTTGATTTTCTTAATGTCAAATGTTGGTTTCAAGGTGGAGATGTCACCTGCAATAAGCACTGAGCCTACTATCTCTCCAATAAATGTTTCCTGCTTGATAGAAATCAAAAGTGTTTTTAAATAAATTTGCTAGTATTCGGGTGACCAATAGAAAATGAATACGGAGTAATTTATTTGAAAGTCGAAATAAGAAGAGATGAAAACTACTTTGTATAACACATAAATAGGGCAATTTTAGTGAAAACAATTCTTCCCGTCAAAATTGAGAATAGTGAAAAGTGGTGCTTATTCTGGTTTATGGGTGAGCGCATTTCTCGTAAAGATAGTGCATTGTTCGCATTGCATAAAATGTTCAATTTTTTTTTACCAAAAATGTGACTATGTTATCTTATTCGTACTTCGTAGCAGTCTGCAGTGCACATTGTTTATTGTTTATCGGGGAATACACAATATTCAAATCACACATTATTCATTCTTAATTTGTCTCATTAGATCGTACTCTCATTTCATCTAACTTCTATATAAGGTGTGTATATGTACATATTTACAAATATGAATATTGTGTGTGTATGTGTGTGTATGCATATTGTCTTAATTTTAGATAATATATGCACATCTCGAAAATTACGATGAACCTGATCTTGTTTTGGACGGACTGGCTATGGATCACGTAAAAGGGGAGCCGGAATGTTTACCAAATATAATGTTTTTGGTTTTTGACCCAACTCTGGTTTTTTGGTCATTAAAAAGTTGCAAAAAAACAAGAAATTGTTCTGATCTAAATAGGAGTATAAACGTCTGACCAACAATATCTCTTAATCACATGACATGAATCGATGAGCAAAAGTGTCTTTGAATTTCAAAACAGGATACCCAAAACTTTATAACAAACTTTAAAATGATAGTATTTTCCAAGATTTGTAGTAATGACTCTTATATAGGAAATGAAAACATAGTACTTCTATTTCGGAATTTCAAAACGTTTTTACTTCTAATTCCGACTACCAAGAAAACTTGATCCAGTCAGGTTTCAAAACAGATTTTTGAGTAGGCACATCTAATGAATTTGGAGGTTCCGGTTCTAAATGCAAAATTGAGACCCCATATATGAATAAAAATAAAATCACATATAATAACAACTCACATACTTCAAAAAAATTAATTGTGTTCAAGTGGTTCAACTATTCATATAGAAAAAAATTAAACATGATTTGAAATAACTACATATTAATATTATATAATATAACTATATGCTAATACTAATGTTAAAAAAGTTGGGGCCCCAAATTTTGGTGGGTCCTGTTCCAGATGACCCATTAAAGTTGCTAAAAGCAGCCCTATTCTTGATGATCCAAAACATATATTTGAGACCGGTTACCGATGTCCGTTTTCGTACTCCCATACAGAATTGAACTATTCATGTTTCAGAGGAATTGAACTGGAACAGATTTTTTAGATCGGTTACTCGGGTCACCGGTATGTTTTAGAATTCGGACCTTTCCACCACTTTATTGTAAACATTGAGTTAAAACTAATTTTAATTATATTTTGGTAAGAAGGATATATTTACCATGTGTTGATTAATTAACTTGGAGTGGAGGAGTCTTGACAATAGATTTCTAGTGAATTGTGCTTCAGGTGTTTCTTGAGGAGCAATAGCCCGTCCCATTTCCTCCCATGAACTTAATTGACGCTGTGCGGCAAGTGGAATGAGAGTGATATTGAGTTTTGAATCAAACACAATTTTTGCAGCCAAAGGGTCAAAATACATGTTTTGTTCTGCAAATCTATTACTTGGCAGATTAATCACATTTCCTTGGTCAATGCTATTGTTGCTGATATGCCCTCCAACAATCATTACTTCCTGTGCAATTGAACAAAACAAAACACTAAGAACATGCAAAATTGTTTTATACTAATAAAGTATAGAGATTCTAACTCATATATAAAGTCACACCAAACTGGCAAATTATAGAGATACCAACTCTATATATATGAAGTCTTAATGCAGATCACATATGTTGATGATTTCAAAAAAAAAGGCCACAATACAGGTATACTACTTCCGTTCTCTTTTATGTGCAACACTTGTTTTTTTTACGTTTGCCAATGCAAATATTTGACCAATAGTATATTTCATTCTCTATTAATAAAATTAAAAAAACAATTGTTGAAAATTTACTATAATACAAATTTAACAATAATATAAAATTCAACATGATGCACTTATTTACGAATGGAGGTGGTATTGTTTTGTCAAAAGGAATAACCACTTGCCTCGATTAGAGAGGAAACATTTGGATTTTTGAGAATAATATTTGCTATACTAGTGAGTGGACCATTCGTCAAGACAGTCAACTTGGACCCCAAATCTAGGGAATGCACTACTGAATCCCATACTTCTAAAGCGAGTGGTTGTCGAAGTTCAGGGTGATCAGTGTCACAGGGACCTCCAAACTCCTTGGAGTCGTCTGCTGTATATCTGTAAGTTAATGAGGAGTGATTGAACTTACTAGCTAGCTAGGGTTACATCAAAACAGAGTGTCTTCCTTCCTATTTAATAAGATTAATACTTGATAAAATTACTAGGAATATGGCCTAAAATTCGGTAATTTTTAAAATATGACTAAACCATTTTTATTTTTAAATTAATGATTTTCTGCATGTACACTATGTATTTTGGTACTACTTTTTCTCGCTTTAATTAAATTATTACTCATAACAGAGAGGCATGTTTAAGTTTAATTGTTGGTCATATTTTCGGACTATATGAATGTTTTGTTCACTTAAACATAAATATCTCTTAATACTTAACGGTCAAAAAAATAGGCTTCACAAACTTGCCCTCGAGGACTGCGTGGGAGATCGCGAGCTGTTCCATAAAGAGTGTCTGAATCAAGAAATCCTCCGTAACCATGTGGGATGCCCTTTTGATACTTACGGTCTCCACCAACACCAGGGAAATCTGAATAGGACATGTTCAGTGGAAGTAGATCCCCAATGCCCACAAGAATGTCATCACGACCCATCATATGCAACAAATCATAAACCACATCAAGTGTTGCTGCATTCGCCCAACCGTTTGGGCTCACTAGAATTGCCTATAATATACATAATGTGAACAACAAAGGTTAATATTTGCTAGTTTATTACCAAGTATGTAGCATACTTTGGGAAGTGTGAGAATGAAATTTCTATTTATTCAATTAGATATGTAAAGTCACAGGCTTGTTAAATGCATTTCCTCAAGTAGGACTATGTTAAAAGTAGGACTAATTATGTTTTGTTCCCGAAATAGATTTATTTATTTCTATTAAAATAATAAAACAACAAAAACTTCCCAAAAAGGAATGAACGTCTCGTATTTCTGGTAGAAAACACTAACACTTCTATTTGAGGAAATGTGTTATGTTTTACTCTTATTTAGAGATTTTGCTCTTAAATAACTTATAATTAAAGACAAACTAACATCTGGAGTGGAGGTTCTCTAAGATTATGTTATTTGATGTTTTGTGAGCTTCTCTAAGATAAGTCTAGATTTTCTCTAATACATAAGTTGTTGTCATGAATGGATAATAAAAGAGGTTTGTCAAGAGTTAAGTCTTAAAAAACTTAAGTTTAATTATCGGGATTAATGATGCATGGGGATAAGGCTCCAAAGTTGTTTAGTAAAATTAATTATCATTATCGTCTATATTATTATCACGAAGGAAATAAGATGAATAATTATTTTAAAGTCACTTCTACCTTTAGATTGATATCCTTGATGGGAAGTTTAAGAAGATAAAAGAGGGCTAAGAAGTCTCCAGCGCTCATGTCCATATCAAACACAACATTTTTCCCAAGTCGAATTCCGGAAAGATCTGGCTTGTAAAGTGTTTCATGATAGCAAGGAAATTCCGTTGTAGAATTAAACCTACCAGTTTGTTTAGGTAGGTTTAATACCTGCACCATAGGTATCGAATGTTTAATATTTTCACGGATAAAAACTATTTTAATATGATGAGATTGCAAGGTATCAAAATATATACTTATATATGTATGTCCAAAAAACAAACTTACATCTATAAAGTTTGCATAAAATGCTTTGTCTAATGGACTGCTAACATTGGGGTTGAGTTTTGCTTTTATTGCAACAAGAACAGACACACCGTTAGAACTCCCTGTGACTTGTGGAGTATACCCATCCTGATCAACAAGGCGTAATGAAGTGTCTTAAAACATTATTTTAGCAATATATAGTTGGCCGGAAATAGTACGTGAGTTTGATGCTCAAATATATAAGATTTGTAATGATTAATACTTTGCATTTTTCAGTGTTATTGTTGAAAAGACAGTGAAAATCACGAGCACCAATTTGGACATGTCCTTTGTGGTACTTGGGGTCAAGATTGAACTTTGGGGTACTGCGACCGTCGAAGAATGGATTAGAGCCATCTGATACACTACGGTTTTCATCTGAAGTTGTTACTACAGTAATATTTATGTACTTCATTTCCGCGAACTCGTTGTCACCTTCATGGTTATCTAGTTTACTCATAATTGAAGTTGCCACACCACACATAAAGAAGTCCCACATGCAGTAATCCTGCATTAATACATAAAAGAATTAGATGGTACATAACATCAATCCCTTCTATACACACATAACCACACACTAAAGTATGTATGTTTGCATGTGTGTGTACATGTGCGTGTGCGTGTGCGTGTGTGTGTGTGGTGTGTGTGTACAAGTATTAATATTGGATGAAAATCCGATTTGGTTTTAGTACTGTTTGTTTGTTCGCAATCATGTTTCCGAGTAGCATCTTTTGTGTTGATTTTATTAGCTCATTTCCATATTACTCAAGTTGGTTAATTTGGCAAAACAACGAGAGACATATATAAGTATTTATCTAAAATAGGTTGTATATACAATAGTAAATTGAAATATAAGATATGATCATAGACATGCAATTCATATTCACATTTCAGATAAAAGGATTGAACTTACTTTGTAGAATACATCGATGCCGGCAAAAAAACTATCACTAATTAATTTGTAGGTCTTGAAAAAGTATTGTGACTCATATGTGTGTTGATTATTCTCCATGTGGGAAAAAAACTCAGCTGATATTGGAACAGTGTTTGTGGCATCCAATGGCACAAGAGTGATTGGAATTCCAGAATGAAGGACCTGCAATATATATATATATATATATATATATATATATATATATATATATATATATATAAATGCATAAAAGAACAAATTGTATAATTGCTCCCATGCGTATAACAAACAATGCAGATAATCTAGATTTATTACCTAGTGGGGAAAAGGAAAAAATGTTAAATATCTAAAACTATCCAAGAAAATGCTATCACTCGATTGATCACCTGGTATGAAGCAAAAGGATCCATGAAGATGTTGAACTCGGCAAACAGATTACTATTGAAACTAGTGAACAAATTACCACCTGCGTCAACACTGCCACCCGATGAATATATGTGTGTGACATTTTGTTTCAATTGGGGGTTTGCCATAAGAAATATTGCCATGTTTGTATGAGATCCAGTGAGAAATATAGTTGTGGGGCCAGCAGAAATAGTTTTTATAAATATTTGTTGAGCTGTAGGCTGCATGAGTGGAATATATCTTCTTCTCCCCTGTATTTGACATTCCAATTTTCCAATGCGTTAATTAGTCTACAACTCTACACACACACGCACATGTGTGTGTGCGCATGCACGCATTTGCATTTGTGTGTGTATTTATTACCCGAGGGAGGAAACTCTTTCGTAAGCCAAGATTTGTGTCAACATCTAAATGTCCATTACGGCCTAGCCCGATTGCTTGCCTGTATCTACAATATCCGGCTGTACCAGTTCCCTAAACAGAGCAATCGAATACCACATAACATCAGTAATATTATCTCTTTGCAACACCTTAATGCTCATATGTGTGTGTGTCGTCATACACATGCAATCAATTTAAGTTTATTTTAATCTCTAATTATATATAAGAAATTTAAAAAATATTTTTGAATTATGGTGTATGATTTAGTAGAACTTCTAGAGTATTTAATAAATGTGTAGACTTTGATTGTTGACACATTTTTTTGTAAGAAACAAGATGTTTTTATTCACACCAATATATATTTGTGTTTAGTAAAAAAAAAAAAGAATTAACTTTATCGTAAGTTAATCATCTTGTATTGCACACAGTTATTTAAAATGGAATAAAGAGAATAGTCTTTTTGGGATTGTTACCCACTCATTTTGTACAATATTGGTATTTGTGAACAAATAAAATCATAACCGACATCTTAATTAATAAAAGTTGTCCATTTAAAGTTTAGTCCTTTCTATATTTTGAATTGTATCCTCACTTCTTCCATGTTTTTGTAATTTTGGTGGTGTTATGTGCCTTGACTTGACAAAACTTCACAAGGCAATCTCAGTCCCTCAAAACTACGGGTAATTCAGTCATATGGATGTGACATTGGCTCCAAGGTTTCCAATATTTATAACTATTGCTCCCCCGTCCCTTATAACCTTGCCAACTTTACTTTTTTGATTATCCTAAAATTAACTTTGTCACTTTTTCTTTTAATCAATCAACTGTACCCCACTGCATCTATGCCCAACCTTTACTATATTTTTCCATTCTTTTCTTTTCTATTAATCACATTCCCTATAATTTAATCCAAATCAGTCCTCTCCTTTTCATGTTAAACTGTTAAAGTTCTTCCTATTTCTTAGGGGATTAAGCAAGTAGATTTTATTTGGGATTGACGTGTTAGGCTAACCGCAACCCATACCCGTCAATAAATCAAATTCCCCACTAATTTATACGTATTCACTCAATCAATTCAGTTTTTGCTGCAATCCAACACCGTCAATATATTTGCCCAGCAAAAGTTTTTTTAGTTAAAGTGTTGTTTTTATCATTATACATCAGTTATTTTTTTAAAATACTGGAATAGTAATGATTTAAAAAAATTAAACATTTGATATAAAAATAAATAAATTTGGAATTTAAATTTTTTTGGTGCTATTTCATACCCATTTTTTGGAAAAAATAAGTGAAAGATGCAAAAAAAGAATTGATCATAAAATCTTAATTTTAGCACTTGAATCTATTTAAAAAAGTTTTTGGATGTGAAAAATCCTCAACAGTTAAAACTTCATATATTTTTTAAAAAAATTTCATATGCAATATTGATGTCATTTGAAAGACAATAAAAAATTACAAATTTCAACATATCTTTTATAAGAATTGGAATAAAAATAAAAAAGATATACCCATTTAAATAAAAATGGGATGTAACTTTTGCTTGGACCACATCAATATTGTTGCTGCCAGCTCTGTCCTTACCTTCTCTTGCTTCTGTCAATAAGTAGGCCAATTCCCACTCACGGAGTTCCTTTAAGTCTTTAACCCACTTTGGCCTCCCAAAATACATTGGGTTGGAGTTGATTTTAGGGTGAATAATCAAATATAACCTATTGACTCCCGGGTTGCAATCAGTATTATGTGTGTGTATAATATACACATCATATTAAACAACAGCAAAGAAAGAAATATTAAAATGTGCTAGTGTACTTTTTCGTCTTTTTATCTAATAATCGCTAACAGCAAACAACTAAATTACCAAACATATTTTTGTAACCCGCCAAACTAATACGCCAGTCAAACCCGCTGACTCAATCCGCTGTTTAAAACCTGTTAACTCAATCCGCCAACCGTTAACCGCCAACCGCTGATTACCAAACAAGCTCAGAGTTTAAAATGTTGTCCGTTGATTATATTCTTTCGTGAGTCGTGACATTCTTGAACATCGCTTGTGATATATTTTATATAAATAGATGTACTATCTCTTCTCGATCTATGCAACAAAAACTGTGGAGTAGTATTCTAGAAGGTTTTTGGATCTGATTCTTAAAATTGTTTCTGCTTCTTGAGAGAGACCAGCTTCTGAAAACTGATTCTAATTCTACTTCTGCTTCAAAAAAGAAGTAGAAACAGAATCGGCGAATTGGTGAATTTAATTTACCATTGTCTCAAATAGTAAATCGGTGAATTTTCCTATTAGACACGTAGTACGTAGTTTCGTATATGTTAATTTTAAACAATTGATAAGTTTGATGTTCATAACAAAAACATCAACTAGCTAATAGTTATTAATTCTTTTTTCTACCTTAGAATGTTTCAACCTGTATTTACTTTTATAGTTTTATATAAAACAGTAAAATTAATTTTGAAAGTTTAGTACAAAGTGTGTGAATACTCCGTCCGTTTGAAAAAGGTTCATCACGACTTTTCTAGTACTCCCTCCGTCCTAGGGAGAAGTTTCCACTTTCCTTTTTTAGCAGTCCCAACAAAAAGTTCTCATTTCCCTAAATGGAAAGTTATCCTACATCAAAACAGTGTCAAACAGTGCAAAACAGTGCCAAACAGTGTGGAAACAGTGCCAAACAGTGTCGAAACAGTGCCAAACAGTAAAATTGACCCCTCAGTAACTTTATTTCCTTAATATGTGTGAAAGTCAACCCGGGAACTTCTCCCTGGGACGGAGGGAGTACTTAACTTTGACAAGTGATATTTTTAATACGAAATTATTTTGAGTATGAAAGTTATATTAAAATGTTCCTTATTCAAAATATTTTCGTAAAAGTATAAATTTATAAATATAATTATATACAAATATAAAATTAAGGGAAAAGGTGAAAATAAGCTCATGTACTGACCAAAAAAGGTAAAATAAGCCCTTATTTAGGAGGCTCTGTCTGACTGTCCTCATTTGGGGTGGTTTCCGGTAGAATTTTTTGATGAATTTTTTTGAGCATCGTATTCATGAAGTCTAGTTTACTCATACCAAATTTCAGCTAAAACTTCAATCGGGAAGGCATTCAAACGAATTCTTGAGGATAACTGTGCCGTTAAAAGCGCCGTTAACCGAGCCTCCTAAATAAGGGCTTATTTGACTTTTTTTGTTAATACATGGGCCTATTTGCACCTTTCCCCTAATATTAATATTGGTATCTAAAGTTTGACATCATTGACTAAAAAAAGTCAATATAGCGAACATTTTCGAGACGGGGAGGTATATATGAAGTACAAACATGTAAAAAATAAAAA